TTTATTTACTCTTCTGGAGACCAGAAATCTGAAATCAAGTGTTGGCAGGGTGGGTTTTCTCTTGGGGTCCAGAGGGAGAATCTGTCCCATGCTGATGCTGATCTCCTAACCAATTGCGGGCCGCTCTTGGCATTCCCTGGCTTGGGGCAGCATAACTTCAATCTCTGCCTTGGTTATCACATGATATCCTTCCTGTGTTTGTTTTCCTGTGTCTTTACATGGCCTTCTTATAAGGATGGCAGTCATTGGGTTTAGAGCCAACTCTAATCCAGTGTGACTTCAACTTAACTTGATCACATCTGCAAAGAACGTTTCCGAATAAGATCACGTTCAGAGATATTGGGAGTTAGGACTTCAACATGTTGGAGAACACAATTTAACCCAATACAAATGCTAACCTTTCCCTCTGGGAGCTGGAGCAGATCACTTCCCGACCTGGGGCGGATGGGGCATGTGGGTGGCTTTGGAGGAATGGTAGCAGGACTGATGGATGGGATCTGAAGGGTCGTCCATAGCTCTTAACGCTCACCTTCCCTAAAAATACCCTGTCTACACAGACTTTTTCTGTCAGTTTCCATGAATTTGTTGTGAGGAGAGGGCATGAGATCCCAGCTTAGACAACTGGGCCTTTGAACTGGGAGTTGACTACATGACTTGATTTTCTCTCTTGTTATCCCAAACAGTAAGCACAGAGGATCTAGAAATTCTTGCTTTCTTCCAGAGGATTCAAGGACCTGGGCTCTGGTCACTTTGGGTCCCACAGTGAGCTTTCCTAGCAGTATATACAAGGGGTATTGCAAAATGCTGACGTGTCCAAAGCAGGGGTGGCATTCTCCATCTGCAGCTTCTGAATATTGCGGGCTCAAACCTCTAACTTAATGACTGATGTATCTTCTGCCACAGATGTTGACATATCTTCCCTTTAGAGTCTATTCATCTTCTAATGCAGAGGCCCCAGCCCTGGGTGGGTGAGGCACAGCAGTAGAGATCAAACGTTTTGGCAGCTGTTTGGGGATGGAGGGGCGGGGCATACATGACTTAATTTTCCTATCTCTAAAATAGACAATGCATTCTGTCTACTGGGATATAAAGAAGGGAAAGAAGTTATTGTAAAGTACCTTGCTAATTTCAACTAATAAGATATTTGGGGAAATGTATGACTCTGACATTCGTTGACAAATAAAATGCACTGGGCCAGCACAAAAATGGAAAACGGTGGTTGGATCACTCCACTTGGTCAGGAAGGTAAACTGAATGATGAATCAATGAAGACTCCATGCTTCCACTCACGTTTGCCATTTGGCCAAATGGCCTAATGTTGCCAGATAGTTATATTTTTACAAAAAGGCTTAGAATGCAAACATCTGTGTGTTTCCTTTTTTTTTTTTTTTTTTAAACGGAGGCTTGCTCTTTTGCCCAGGCTGGAGTGCAGTGGCACTATCTCAGCTCACTGAAACCTCTGCCTCCTGGGTTCAAGTTACTCTCTTGCCTCAGCCTCTGAGTAGCTGGGATTACTGGTGGCTGCCACTATGCCCGGCTAATTTTTTTTATTTTTAGTAGAGATGGGGTTTCACCATATTGGCCAGGCTGGTCTCGAACTCCTGACCCCTTGATCCGTCCACCTGAGCCTCCCAAAGTGATGGGATTACAGGCGTGAGCCACCACACCCAACCTGTTTCCTATTTTTTAAGTGTTAGCAACTAAAGCAAATTATTATTATTGTTATTTTCTTTGAGACAGAGTCTCACTCTATGGCCCTGGCTGTGGACCAGGAGTGCAGTGGCCTAATCTCAGTTCGCTGTCACCTTCGACTCCTGGGCTCAAGCGATTCTCCTGCTTCAGCCTCCTAAGAGCTGGGATTATAGAACACACCACCAGGCCCAGCTAATTTTTTGTATTCTTAGTAGAAATGGGGTTTCACTGTGTTACCCAGGCTGGTCTCAAACTCTTGACTTTAGGTGATCCACCCACCTTGACCTCCCAAAGTGCTGGGATTACAGGTGTGAGCCATCTCACTCGGCCACAAATTATTCTTTTAAATGTGCAGGCCAGACAAAGTATGTCTGGGAATTAGGGATGTGGTTCAAGGGCCAACAATCTGTCATCTGCATGGTAGTATAGTGCCATATCCTCATGGAACCACCTTCCGTCTCAGTATTGGTCGGTCAAACCATAAACCATATCAGACGGCTGAGATGACTCAAACTGATCTTGTTATGCAGGCCTCTGCCCTCCACTTTGCCCCATACGGAAAGCCTATATGGTGAAAAGAGTATGGAGCAGGAGAAAGAACATGGAGTTTTTGGAGCCAGAAACGACTGGTTTGGATTCCTACCGTAGTCATTTAGCCATCTTGTAATATTGGGGGAAGTTATTGAAGTCCCTGATTTCCAATCTTTTCCTACGGAATATGAGGATGATGATATCTTCTTCTTCAAGTTGTTTCAAGGACTCAGAATTATTGTGACGTTTATGTATATGAGTGAGGATAAACCGCCAAGCACATGGTGGTACCACCATCTATCAGACAGTAAAATGGAAGTTGTCTTTTCAACTAAAGGGAATCCAGAAATGGGAACAAATGATTAAGGCACAAATCTTAATTTTCCCTGACTTACTCTGATTATTTGAAATTTCAAACAGAAATGGAATTAATGTTTTATTTAAGATTGCACACTGTGGTTTTTTTTTCTTGTAACATTTCATTTATTAGTTGTGTAATCCTGGGCAAATCACTAAATCACTCAATTTTCTTATCTGGATAATAAGGATAATAATACATTAAAATGAGGGCAATATAATACATCCTTGAAAAGCGCCATTGCAAGGAAACACCTAAGTACTGTAACTGACACATATCAGGAATATATGGTAGACATTTGTAGGATTATCCATTATATTATCTTGGTTTTGAATTTCATTTAGTTCTAGAAACCTGAAACACATCTATCTATCTATCTAATCAATCATCTATCTATCTATCTATCATCTATCTAATTTTTTGTTGGGATAAAATTCTGCAGCTACTGGGGAAAACAGTTTTGCAGTTCCTCAGGAAGTTAAATATAGAATTATCATGCGACATGGTAATTCCACTTCTACCCAATAGAACTGAAAACGGGTATGCAAACAAAAACTTGTACACGATGTTATCCAGATAATCCAGATTATCCATTTGACATTCCCATCAGCAATGTAGAAGGATTTCAGTTTCTCCATATCCTCACCAATATTTTTTATTATTATTGCCTGCCTAATGAATAAAAAATGGTATCTCATTGTGGTTTTTATTTGCATTCCCCTAATGAACAAGGATATCAATCATCTTTTGTATATTTTCTTTGGGGAAATGTAAAGTCCTTTGCCCATTAACAAAAATTGTTTTTGTTGGCTTTTAGGAATTCTTTTTATATTCTGGATATTAATCTCTTATCAGATATATGCTTTGCAAATATTTTATCTCATGCTGTGAGCTGTCTTTTCGTTTTCTTAATAGTGTCCTTTGAAGCACTAAAGTTAATTCTGATGAAGTTCATTTTATCTATTTTTTTCTTTGGTTGATGGTGCTCTTGGTGTCATAGCTTAAAAAATAATCAACAAATTGCAAGTAATGATGTTTTCTACCTGTTTTTTTCTAGGAATTGTATGGTTTTAGCTCTCATATTTAGGTCTTTAATTCATTTTGAGTTAATTTTATATATAGCATGAGGTGGGGGTCCAAATTCAGTCTTTTGCATATGAATACCCAGTTTTCTTAGCACCGTTTGTTGAAGAGACTCTTATTTCCCCATTGAATGGCTTTGGCACCCTTGTCAAAAACCAACTGACCATTGACATATGAGTTTATTTCTGGACTCTTAATTTTATTTCATTGATCTAAATGTCTATCATTATGCCAGTACCACATTGTTGTTTTGATTATTGTAGCTCTAGCTTTCTTTTTTAAGGTTGTTTTGGTTATTCTGGATCCCTTCAATTCCCTATGAATTTCAGGATCAGCTTTTTCCATTTCTGCAAAAAGAAAAAAAAAGAACATTGGAATTTCGATGGCAATTGCATTGAATCTATAGATTGCATGGTATTGCCGTCTTAACAATATTAAGCTTCCGGTCCATGAATATGAGATAGCTTTCCATTTATTTAGGTCTTCTTTGATTTCTTTCAACAATGTTATGCAGATTTTTGTGTACAAGTCTTAAACCTCCTTGATTAAGTTTATTCTTGAAGTATTTTATTCTTTTTAATACTATTGTAAATGAAACTGTTTTCTTAGTTTTATTTTTGAGTTCAATGCTTTTGTATAAAAATACAACTGTTTTTGTATGTTGATTTTGTATCCTGCTGCTATGTTAAACTCATTTATTAGCCCTACTAGCTTTTTTTTGTGGATTCTTTAGGAATTTCTCTATATAAGATCATATCATCTGTGAATGTAGATATCTTTGCCTCTTTCTTTCTAGTATGGATGCCTTTTATTTTTCTTAATGGCTTAAATGCTCTAGCTAAATCGTAGCTTAATTGATCTAGCTAATATTTCCAGTACAACATTTAATAGAAGCGGTGAAAGCAGCCATCCATGTCTCATTCCTGATATTAGGAGGAAAGATTTCAGGCTTTTACCATTAAATATGATGTTAAATGCGGGCATTTATTTATTTTGAAGCCTTTTTATACTCTAATTTTGAAGTAACAGAGTGAAACTGCACAATGTAGAAACCCAAGACATTCTCTTAAAGTCCACTCCTTTCTAGCAAGATGACTGTTTATATTTTGAAAGTTGATCATTAAATGTCCTTTTAAAACTTTTATGAAAATATGACATATTAGAGACTCTCTATATTACTAAATCAGGCAGCAAAACCTGATGTTTTATCTGTTACATCTTAAATGATTGGATTTGACTTAGTTATCATGTACCTTGGAACCAAGTATTTTGAAATGCACCATTTTTGGGATTGTGGTTGGTTATTTCAACATGTGCTTTTTGTTCTAAATTGCAGATTGGATTTGTCCTGTATCCCCCTGATGGAAGTCCTGCATGGGATCTGATGGATCATGAAAATATTATGTTTCTCACCATATGCTTTTGCTGGCATTACGCAGTAGCTCTTGTCATCGTTGGAGTGAATTACGCTTTCGTCACCTGGTAAGTCAGCGATTTCTGTTCATGGAAGTTCTATTCCTTGGTATGTGATTATCAAGACTCAGTGGTATTGAATTTAAAATTCAAAGGGGATTTTATTCCTTATCATCTCATAAGACGGGGTAGCATATTATCTGCAAACCAAAAATTCCTAGTAAAAAGGATAAATGCTGGTTTAAAGTTGATTTCTATTAGTCCCGTTCAGTGCCTCAGCTCTGCCTCTGCTGCTCATGTTTACCCTTCAGCGCACTCCTCTGTGCCTCCATGTCTCCACTATGCTATCTCCTCTTCTCTCTTCTGAATGGTCTCCCTCACCCTGTACTGCCTATAGTGAGTCCTCCATTTACCCAAATGTGCATACTTCAATTAAGCACTTCTTAAGCTTAGAGTCCTTTTTTGACCAACTTGTGTGTGTCCCATTAAGTGTAGGTGCCTGCCTAAGTTGACATTGACAAATATTTCTACAAGTCAGGTCCAGTTAAATACATATTTTTATAAGAATATAAATTTTTTTTATAATACAATATTTCACAAGTGGGTAACGAGGAGTAGAACAGAATGATAAGAACACATATTTTTGACTCCACTGTTTATCAGCTGTATGACTTTGGGCCAATCACTTACCCACATTAAGTAATATTTTTGTTGCTTGTAAAATGGGGAAATAATACCTAAATGAGATCGAGTATTTAAGCTTAGGACATAATAAGAGCTCAATAAATATTATTGTCTTGTTGTTCTTTCTGCTGTTATGCTTCTCCCCCGTCTCCTCTTCATTCTTCCTCTTTGGTATTAAAAAAAAATGAATGTGATATGGACCCTACCCATCAGGAATTTTTAGTCTTATAATTAGGACTAAATTAGGGAGACACAATTAAAATACAGTGCAATAAACAGAAATAGTAGAAGAAAAAAGCACTCTTGGAGTTGAGGGGAGGCCTCTCCACAATTGAGAATGAAGCTGCAGCTTGAAGGATGAGCAGGGATAGAAAGCGGTGATCATAGTTCATTTCTCTAAGGGGGTTAATGCCGAACCGCAATTGGCGTGGCCGACCTCAGTGACCAGGCATGAAGCCTCCAGCACCTAATCCTTCAGACTTAGTGCTGATTGAAATGTTCTGTATCTACAGTGTCCAATATGGTAGTCACTAGCGATTGAGCACTTAAAATGTGGCTTGTGCCACATTAATTTTATTAAATATCCATATATGTATGGACAGTGGTTACCACACATATATGGATATTAAAATTAATAAAATTAATTTAGATTGGACACTACACATTTAACAGGTTCTCCGATTTCTAAAATGCAGTGGCTACTGCTAGGCCCAGCGAGGTCCCAGCCGGAAGTAACTTTCCACTCTTCTCTCTACACATCGGCCCCAAGTCATCCCTCCTGCCCTGTGCTCCTTTGTGCCTCATTGCTGAAGCAGCTCTGGTGCTGAGGCACTGAGTGAAGAGATGAGTCCTTTGTCTAGCTCTCAGCTGTCTCTGTTCAGCTGCAGGTCAGCTCACTTTGATCTATAGTTGCTGCCTTCTGCTGTAGAAGTTGCTGCCTTCTACTTAAACCTACTAGGTTTAAGTCCTTTGGGTACGAGGAAATTCCACCTTCTCATTGATTTCTATTAGTCCCATTCAGTTCCTCCAAAGCATGTGCATGTGCTCATTGTCAATGCTGCTCTGCCATTGAGTGAAACTTGGCTTCTTCCCCTGTTGTTCTAGGCTGACTTCTGGGCCTCATCTCCTTAGGGGCTGGAAAGCCTCCAAGATCACTGCCAGCATCCAAGGAAACTCTCTTCCTCATGTCAGCTCCTCTCCAGAGCCAAAAGAAGATTACTGTCTCTTCCTGTTTCAAAAACCTTCAGACCCCTAATGGACCTCTTATTGACCTATAGTACCATAGAAACTGGATACTCCATTTTTTATTTTCCAACCTTCTCCTCTACCCCCGACACATATTATCCTAAATCTTTTTGCCCATGCAGTTCCCCCCACCTGGCATCTTCACATTAAATGCACATCTCGTCTATGAAACCTTCCGTGATGACTCTAGCCTTTGCTCATCTCCCTTTAAGAGTTTTTACAGCATGTAGCCTCCATCATGCATTTCAAAAATTGGGATCTCTCTTGTGATGTTCCCCATGAGCTCATGCGCATTAGTCTTATCTCCTGGCTAGATTGTGTCTCCTTGAGTATAAGACCCTTTCCATATTTCCAACACATCTTGGCATACTGCAAACATATAGTAGATTCTCAATAAACGCTTTTTGCTGTTTTTTAAAAAAAATTATTATTATACTTAAGTTCTGGGTACATGTGCAGAACGTGCAGGTTTATTACATAGGTATACATGTGCCATGATGGTTTGCTGCACCCATCAACCCATAATCTGCATTAGGTATTTCTCCTAATGCTTCCCCCACCCCCAGCTCTCTACCTTTGACAGACCCTGGTATGTAATGTTTCCCTCCCTGTGTCTATGTGTTATCAATGCTCAACTCCCACTTATGAGTGAGAACATGTGGTGTTTGGTTTTCTGTTCTTGCGTTAGTTTGCTGAGAATGATGGTTTCCAGCTTCATCCATGTCCCTGCAAAGGTCAGGAACTCATCCTTTTTTATGGCTGCATAGTATTCCATGGTGTATATGTGCCACATTTTCTTTATCCAGTCTATCATTGATGGGCATTTGGGTTGGTTCCAAGTCTTTGCAATTTGTGAACAGTGCCGCAGTAAACATGTGTGCATGTTTCTTTATAGTAGAATTATTTATAATCCTTTGGATATATACTCAGTAATGGGATTGCTGGGTCAAATGGTATTTCTAGTTCCAGATACTTGAGATCACTACACTGTCTTCCACGATGGTTGAACTAATTTACACTCACACCAACAGTGTAAAAGCATTCCTATTTCTCCACATCCTCTCCAGCATCTGTTGTTTCCTTACTTTTTAATGATCGCCATTCTAACTGGCATGAGGTGCTATCTCAATGTGGTTTTTTTTGCATTTCTCTAATGACCAGTGATGATGAGCTTTTTTTCATATGCTTGTTGGCTACATAAATGTCTTCTTTTAAGAAGTCTGTTCATATCCTTTGACCACTTTTTGATGTTTTTTTTTTCTTGTAAATTTGTTTAAGTTCTTTGTAGATTCTGGATATTAGACTTTGTCAGATGGATAGATTGCAAAAATTTTCTCCCATTCTGTAGGCTGCCTATTCACTCTGATGCTAGTTTCTTTTACTGTGCAGAAGCTCTTTAGTTTAATTAGATCCCATTTGTCTATTTTGGCTTTTGTTGCCATTGCTTTTGGCATTTTAGTCATGAGGTCTATGCTCATGCCTATGTCCTGAATGGTATTGCCTAGGTTTTCTTCTAGGGTTTTTATGGTTTTAGGTCTTACATTTATGCCTTTAATCTACCTTGAGTTAATTTTTGTATAACATGTAAGGAAGGGATCCAGTGTCAGCTTTCTGCCCATGGCTAGCCAGTTTTTCCAACACCTTTTGTTAAATAGGAAATCCTTTCCCCATTGCTTGTTTTTGTCAGGTTTGTCAAAGATCAGATGGTTGTAGATGTGTGGCATTATTTCTGAGGCTTCTATTCTGTTGCATTGGTCTATATGTCTGTTTTGGTACCAGTACCTTGCTCTTTTTATTACTGTAGCCTTGTAGTATAGTTTGAAGTCAGGTAGTGTGATGCCTCTGGCTTTGTTCTTTTTGCTTAGAATTGTCTTGGCTCTGGAGACTCTTATTTTGTTCTGTATGAAATTTAAAGTAGTTTTTCCAATTCTGTAAAGAAAGTCAATAGTATCTTGATGGGGATAGCATTGAATCTATAAATTACTTTGGGAAGTATGGCCATTTTCACCATATTGATTCTTCCTAATCATGAGCATGGAATGTTTTTCCACTTGTTTGTGTTCTCTCATTTCCTTGAGCAGTGGTTTGTAGTTCTCCTTAAAGAGGTTCTTCACATCCCTTGTAAGTTGTATTCCTAGGTATTTTATTCCCTTTGTAGCAATTGTGAATGGGAGTTCACTCATGATTTGGCTCTGTGCTGGTCTATTAGTGGTGTATAGGAATGCTTGTGATTTTTGCACAATGATTTTGTATCCTGAGACTTTGTTGAAGCTGCTCATCAGCTTAAGGAGATTTTGGGCTGAGAAGATAGGGTTTTCTAAGTATACAATCATTCATCTGCAAACAGAGACAATTCGACTTCCTCTTTTCCCAGTTGAATACCATTTATTTCTTTCTTTTGCCTGATTGCCCTGGCTAGAACTTCCAATACTATGCTGAATAGGAGTGGTGAGAGAGGGCATCCTTGTCTTGTTCCGGTTTTCAAAGGTTATGCTTCCAGTTTTTGGCCATTCAGTATGATATTGGCTGTGGGTTTGTCATAAGTAGCTCTTATTATTTTGAGATGCATCTTGTCAATACCTAGTTTATTGAGATTTTTTAGCATGAAGGGCTGTTGAATTTTATCAAAGACCTTTTCTGCATCTATTGAGATAATCATGTGGTTTTTTTCATTGGTTCTGTTTATGTGAATGGATTACGTTTATTGATTTACGTATATTGAACCACATCCCAAGGATGAAGTTGACTTGATCATGGTGGGTAAGCTTTTTGACGCACTGTTGGATTTGCTTTCCCAGTATTTTATTGAGGATATTCACATTGACATTCATCAGGGATATTGGCCAGAAATTTTCTTTTTTTGTTGTGTCTCTGTCAGGTTTTGGTATCAGGATGATTCTGGCCTCATAAAATGAGTTAGGCAGGAGTCCCTCCTTTTCTATCATTTGGAATAGTTTCAGAAGGAATGATATCAGCTCCTCTTTGTACCTCTGGTAGAGTTCGGCTGTGAATCCGTCTGGTCCTGGACTTTTTTTGGTTGGTAGGCTATTTATTACTGCCTCAATTTCAGAACTTGTTATTGATCTATTGAGGGATTCAATTTCTTCCTGGTTTAGTCTTGAGGGTGTATATATATATAT